ACCCAAATTAAACCATACATCTTTTGAAAAATTGTAAAGGTACACACTTTTTTTGTATACACTTTTACACATGTTTGTGTACATTTTTTTTGTATTTACAGACAAAAAAAAACGTACACAGACATGTGTAGAAGTGTGTACACAAAAAAGTGTGTACTCCAAGTCCAACTCTTTGTCTCTTAGATTGAATATTCAAGGCAGCAAAAACTCTTTTATCTCCTTCAATTCGTCTGTTAGCTATAGATTCTTTTTACCTTTTTTACATCTAATAGAAGAATAAACTTGTTTTTTTTTTAAATGAACGACTTATATTAGAATATCAAAATATAAACAGAAACATCAAGAACATAAAACAAGGAGATGTCAACAAAACCAAAAAACATAGCTCCATCACAAGTCCTTGAACTAAACTTTGAGTCAACCGTCCACACACGAGTAATATGACTCGTTAATCCCTACACGAGCAATTGTAATCCAACCATATCGATCAAGACTCCTTGTCACTTATCATGTTTTGAGCCTAACCCTCAACAAAAATAAGCACCAACATAAAGTTATCTAAGCAAATACCACTATGTAAAAACAGAAGCTAACATCCTTATGTAAAAAATACAAAGCAAAAACTGAAAAAAATAAAAAAATAAACTTTAAGTCAGGATCTAGGCTAGGCCCGCCACTTTCACATTCTTGCCACATCCACAATCATAACCCCAATAGGCAATAACTTGATGGCTTGACTTATCGTTCTTTATTCTTTGATACTCGCTTCTCTTCGGCTCCCCCACCCGTCTAGCCATCATAACCTCTCCCAAACTTTTAGAAAACTACCCTTCCAAAATGACAATAGCTGAATCCCCTTGATAGTCATTCACCAAGTCATCTATTGTTGACATCTTCTCTACTGACACATCTCCTCCCTCAAAACAACCTCACCTATCAGTCGCCGCTAAGCCTGACCATAACCAACCGGAAGCCACACTCTAAACCTGGAAGAAAAGTGGAAAAAGAAAATGATCGCATGCTATTGCGGCGGAACTCCAACCCTATGCATCTCTCCAAGGGAGAAAGAAAGATTAAACCCAATTCAAACCAACCACAATCTTCTATAAATTCTTTAACCTTTTGAGTACATATTTAATTGGTTGATGGTATCCAGTGGAGGACCTGGGGGGTCCTAGGGGGGCAAGTGCCGCCGCTTCCGACCCCGGATGTATTAGAATTTCAGATAAAAATTGTGTCCCGCTATCCGGACAAAAAAATTAAAGGTTTTTCCATAAATATTATCAAAATATAACTGATGACAAAAATATTACTATAGTTATTATGCATAGTCACCATATTGATAGTGTTGAACACAATCATGGTCACTACAATTACTATGGCAGTTACTGAGTCATATTTTTGTCAACTATATTTATTTCAATCATATTTACAGTATTTCAAAAAACTATTAGATATGTAGGACGCCATCGAAAACATATACCAATTATAGTAAGAAATATAAACAACCATAAAGTTGTGATGCAGCAAATCCTTATAGTTAAACATGTTGTTGATATGGTTACTACACTTTCTTTGAAAAGTGGCATTGTAATGTTTTTACTTAGAGTGAATAATGTTTGTCCAAAGTTAAAAGTCAAAAATATGACAAGAGTTCTAATATGTTGAATGGACTTAATAGATTGGAGACTTTTATCTTGAATAAAAGTCCATACATGAAAATTGTGTCATTTCACGATAAATTAGTTTCAAACTGACATGACCTTCAAATCTTTTATCTATAATATGATAAAAGTTAGATATAATATATAGAATCACATCATTAAATAAAGCTGTATTAAAGAGTGAAATCATAAACTTAATTTATACTTCATTTTTAACACAATAGTATTATATTTCAAACAAATACCAACAAATTTTGTAGCACAATGTGTAGACATTCGACATGATCCTAGTTCAGATCTGAAAATTTGACCATTTTTATAGTATGAAAAATAACGATAATTCTAATGTAAAATCAGAAATGACATAAAGATGAATCATTTGTAATCCAAATTATGCCTTTCTTCCAAAAAGTCAAATATTATTGTTTAAAATTATCATAACGAGTTCAAAATTGGACTTACAATTCATATATGTTCATTGCTTGAAGCCGACAATGAATTAATATTTCCAGCTAAAAATAATAATTTGAAAGCACTTGACAATATACCCGATTCGACCGACCCGACCCATTTCCATCTACGCTGGGTGCCCCCACTTCAAAAAAACTTCTGGGTCCGTCACTAATGGTATCCATTTTTGCGAGTGAACTTCTCACTACCCGCACAAATCAGGTAAAATATCAATTGTGTACATGGCAAAATTTTTAATGTGCACAATTCAAATTGGTCTCCGAATTCATACAAATTGTTCTATTCACCCCCAAAAAACTGTCAACTCAATGACAAAAAAGAGGAATAAGCATAAGTAAAAAATAAAGTATAAATACACAATATAGAATACAAACAATAATGTATACTCTCTATAAAATATAAAAATATTCGGGGTTTTATTTGATTATATAGCTCTCCCATTATAAGCACCATTGACACCTTATGGAATTGCATGGTGGGTAACCAAAAAGCTAACCTATAAAAATGTATTTTTTTTTTACGAATTCATAGTGCGATTTAAATAGACTTCTTTTTAGTTGAGCGACTGAATTCAACAATCGATAGAAGCACCGGGGTGAAATTATATTCCATCCATATTTTTTATTTGCTATAGTTTCCTGTTTAAGAAGCATTTTTATTTGCTAAACTTTCCCCTTTTTAATAAATTTTCTCTTTAAAAAAGCTTAATTATAAAGAGGACTATATTTTTCACTTCTCCACTAACTCCTACTTTTTTTTGCGTTATTCATTATTCATATTAATTTTTTATTAAATATTTTATCAAACTCTTTTATAGCAAATCATAAAATTTGGAGATACTACGTATGAAGAGTGTACTACCTCCGTAACGGAAAGATTTTTCCATTTCCCCTTTTTAACCGTAACTAAATCCATTTCTAAATCTTCCCATCATACCCTCAATAATTTTAAAAATAATACATTATTACATCTCCTTTTTTGAATTTATTTTTTATTCCAGCATACTATTTTATTATCTTCCCATCATACCTGTGAAACAAATTTTAAGTATTTACTTAAAATTGATCGCAAATAATAATATGTGAAAATATCGGGTACAATGTTTAAATATGAATCCTCTTGTTCTTCACTTGCAATTTGATATGAATATAATAAAAGAATTTAATTTAAAATTAAATCTCTAATTATTCAAAAATTTGAACGTTCTTCGATTCTAAGAATCTACGTTCTTCAGATCTTCAAATCTTTGAATCTTCAAATCTTTGTTCTTCGGATCTTCAAATCTTCTTGAATAAAGAATTGAGCTTGAAGGGTCTCCGGTTTTCAAGTGGCTTGATCTTCAACAAAAGGATCGTTTTATGCCTTGATCTTCTGTTTAAGGGCCTCCCGGGATATATGGCTTGATCTTCAGTTGAATCTTGATTCAAACTTCATAAGAATATCTTCAAATCTTCAAAGATTCGTTCTTCGGATATTCGAATCTTCAAAGCATTGTTCTGCAAATCTTCGAATCTTCGAGCTTCGTTCTTCAGATCTTCAAACATTCTTCAACTTTTGGATTTATTTAATCAAGAATGAACGAAATCACAAATGATTATTCGTATATTCTTAATAAAATTCGTGGCTTGATCTCTTCCTCTCGGGAGTTCTTAAGAGCTTTTCTGCAGCGTTTCTTTGTCTGAAAATTCTCTCACTTTTCTCTCAATTGAGATCCCTATTTATAGGTGTGGAGGGAGTGAAAATATGCTTTAGGGTGTTGGAAATTTGTCCATACCCCTTGGGCCCCAATTAAAATGGGCTTTGGGCTCAATTTGATTGCATTTTAATAGCCAGAAAAATTAGCACTTATGCAACGTACCTGGACAGCTTTTTTAACAAGGTTTAGAGCTATTTCTCTTGCATATGGATGGATTTCTTAACGAGATTCATTGCCTTCTTTATCAATTAGATCATGTCTCTTATATGTTGAGCCACTTTGATAATGAGCTTGAAATTAATAGGAACGGTCCATTCTTTTAAAGATTTAATTTATAATTAAATTAATTGGATATTTTAAATGACCCAAATTAATTTAATCATTAAATTTAAGCTCAAGGACCCATGTTACTATTTTCCTCTTGATAGGCCCAACAACCATCACGAACGGTCCAATATATTTCAACGTTGATCTAATAAAATGAAGAACAACCCGTTAGATTTTCAAAAGGCTCAATGACAACAACAACCCAGCCCAAATATCTCGAAAGTCCAATTAATTTATGAACAAGTGACCCACTAATTTTAGATGTCCACAATAACCTCAATAAATTATATCTCCTATCACTATTTATAATCTCACCCACTTTCAAATATGTAGAAGAATGTGAAAACCAAACTGGGTTGGCGTTTACGACCTTACGTACCACTAATTCTTTGGGCAACGAAATTGCGACTAAAATTTGGACAGGATTGGTCGGGGAAACATACACGATAAATAAAAAGAAAAAAAAAGGAGATAAGGGTAAAAAGGATTGGGTTTAGGAAGGGGTCATTTCCGATTTTCCGGCAAATGCTCCGTACAAGTTACCACAGCTCCCCGTAATTGGCTGCAGATACGTGTAATTAAAACTGGTCCCACCCGGGTACCCACCACTCCCTTATCTCCACGTCACCTTGACCCTTTTCCGCCCGAAATCTCGTCCGTCTTTTTCACATCCAACGGCGCCCAGCTCATGTTCTAGACTTTTCCTCCAAGCCACTGTAACAACATCTAACCATGGTTAGCGTCCATCTAACCGTGATTCACGGTCTGCATTTCCTTCACTGTTATTTCTAGAGCGAGAATGGATGTAAATCCACTGCTTACTTCAATATTTATACGTACAGAGAGGGCGCAAGTTATCTTCGTCTAGAGAGGGAAAACCAGCGCCAGCCGCCAAGGACTGGAGAACTAGGGTTCTTTTGGCTCGTACGGCCGTACCTGTCCGCGAATCCTCACTCTGCTGTTTCCGCGCTGTTTACGTCGAGTTTTCAGGTTCTGAGTTCCGGGAGCCGGAAAAGGGGCAAACTATCGGATCCTTCATCTGTCTGTCAGATCTGGTATTTAGGTGAGTATGTTCACTTCTCTTGTTTCTGCACCGTTTGGATGTTTTCCGATCGCCTGTAGTGTGCCGGTTGGTTCGATATGAATGCGGGAGTTAAGAGGTTGTTTGGTTTGATTTGCTAAAAATGTGATTAAGTATAATTTTAGGATTTTTATTGCGTGTTCGCTTGTTTTCTTTTTTAGTGAAAACGAATCTAAATTTGTTTTTCGGTAAATACGGTTTAAATGCTATGAATAATGGTAGCATTGATTATACAGATAGGAATGCTATTGTTTTTAGTTTTTACTCCGTATAATGTTATGGAGGTTTTGAGTAAGGCTTGATTAGTCGTAGTCGCGAAGTACGTAGTACTACGTATTAAGTAGACGAAAAAACACCACTAGGAATAGTATCGTAGGTTGCGATTATATTGTGCTTTCCTGCTGCTCATTGGCCGGCAAGTATCACGCACTTTTTTATAAATTTTCTTTCATTGAGATTTGTTGGAAGCTTGAAGATCTTTCTGGTTTCGATCTGTGGTTTAAACATTGTTCGAGTCGGGATTATATTTCTAGATGTTCTTAGCTCTGATAAGATTACTTTTGCTTCTATTCTTTTTTCGCTTTTTACAGATTGGAGCTCTCGCTCAGTCTTCACTAGGCAGATGGATCTTTCAATGTAGTTATTGGGATTCGTTCGCTTCCTCTCTCCTGATTTTCTGTCCCCTGTCATCAGCTGTTTTGCCAAATCACTGATCTTTTTTGGTTCGCACCTGTGTGCCTCTTTGAATGATTGTTTCTGGATTGAGTGAATATTTGGCTCAATCACAATCGGCTTCTGAGTTGGGCTCTCATTTGAGAGTGCGGGGTAGGCTACTCTCTGCAGTTTCCATCTCTGTTGCCGGTTGTGAGATCTGTCTTTCTCTTGTCCTATGATGTCTCCTAACTTGGACAGTCCCGTTCAGACCCAGATGGCTGTGGTACCCTTAAGAATCCCACTTGTTGGGGAATACCCTGTAAACAAGAGGATGGATGGGAAACCTATGACCGGAAGAAGACGCGTATTCGTTCAAACAGATTCTGGATGTGTTCTGGGCATGGAGCTAGATCGCAGTGACAATGCACATACTGTTAAAAGGAGATTGCAGATTGCCCTCAATTTCCCGATTGAGGAGAGTTCTTTGACTTTTGGTGATATGGTTTTGAACAATGATCTCAGTGCAATTCGGAATGATTCCCCTCTACTTTTGACTAGGAACACTTTGCATAGAAGTTCATCAACACCCTGCCTTTCTCCCACTGGCAGGGATGTCCAACATAGGGATTGGAGTGGTCCTATTGAGATATTGGGGAACTCTAGCAGCTTTGCAAAGACGAAACAGACTGTCAAGGAAATTGTTAAGGCAATGAAGGCAGGAGTTGAACCCCTTCCCGTCAACGGTGGACTTGGAGGAGCATACTATTTTAGAAACAGCAGAGGGGAGAGCGTTGCTATTGTGAAGCCAACAGATGAAGAACCCTATGCTCCCAACAACCCAAAAGGATTTGTGGGCAAAGGTCTTGGGCAGCCTGGCTTGAAACGGTCGGTTAGGGTTGGTGAAACAGGTTTCAGAGAGGTTGCTGCATATCTTCTTGATTATGATCATTTTGCCAATGTCCCACCAACAGCTTTGGTGAAAATCACACATTCAATATTTAACGTTAATGATGGTGTGAACGGAAACAAGCATATTAACAACAAGAAGAAGCGTTTTGTTAGCAAGATTGCATCTTTTCAGCAGTTCATCCCTCATGATTTTGATGCCAGCGACCACGGAACGTCAAGTTTCCCTGTTTCTGCTGTGCACCGGATTGGGATATTAGATGTTAGGATTTTTAACACAGATAGACATGCCGGAAATCTTCTAGTCAGGAAACTTGATGGTATTGGGGGGTTTGGTCAGGTGGAACTCATTCCCATTGATCATGGTCTCTGTTTACCAGAAAACTTGGAGGATCCATATTTTGAGTGGATTCATTGGCCACAGGCTTCCATTCCATTCTCTGACGATGAGCTTGATTATATAGATAGACTTGACCCTCTAAAAGACTCTGAGATGCTGCGAACTGAGCTACCTATGATTCGTGAAGCCTGTCTTCGAGTCTTGACCCTGTCCACCATTTTCCTCAAGGAAGCAGCTTCCTATGGACTGTGCCTTGCTGAGATTGGTGAAATGATGAGTAGAGAATTCCGTAGTGGCGAAGAGGAACCAAGTGAGCTTGAAGTTGTTTGCATTGAGGCTCGAAGGCTGGTTGCTGAGAAGGAATTACTCCCTGCACTTGGTTCTGTACTTGACGATGATGAGTTTCAGTTTGAGATAGATTATGAAGAAGATATGACCGGACTCTATTTTAATCCAAAAATGCCCTTCTCTGATTTCACAAGCAAGAATCATTTTCATGCTTCACTGTCAAAACTGGATGAAAGCATTGAGGAGGAAGAGGAGAACTGTGAGGAAGAGAAAAAGATTTCCACCAAGAATGCAACTGTTTTAAAGCTATCCACGTCTCTTAAGAAAACCAGTTTGCTAGGAGGACCAAAGCTAGAGAGTTCATCATCATCTTCTGGCCACCGTAGTGCAAACGAGCAGCTTCCCGCAAGTGCCAGTTTTGTCAAGGTGTCAGATATGAACGAGGAAGAGTGGGCAGTATTTCTAGAGAAGTTTCTCGAGCTGTTGCCACCAGCCTTCGGGAAGAGGAAGTCAGTGACTCTTGGTCAGAGGCAGAGGCAGAGGCTTGGAACTTCATGCCAGTTTTGAGGCATTTTTACTGTCTCTCACTTATTAGTGCACACTGGGAGTAGTAATAACAATTTCCAGGCTTGTTGAAGCGAGAGAAAAGATAGATTCCTATCTCCCCTGAAGATGGAGGCAGCAAGGAGCAGTAGTGTTTTAGTAGGGCTGTTTTCTCCTTTTTTGTAAATATTGCTGGAGGGTAGCAAGCTTGGGGGGAAGCGGGTTAGACTTGGTTGCATTTATTTGTTACACATGTTTCTTTCTTTCTTTTTCTTTCCCCTCCTTTCGCCTTGTTACTGAGAAGATATGTTGGATAAATAATTTGGGGACTCCCAAAACACAAAAAAAAAACTTTTATGTAGATAGCTGCTCAAACTCTGTGTTTGTTTAGAGACGTGTCTAAATATCTTATCGACTGTTGAATTACTAGGCTTTTTTCCTAATAACAAACCATCTCTGGCCCTCAGTGCCATCTGAATTGGCTACTTGCTAGATGGGGATCTGAAGATTGTTCAGTTTCCATGACTTAGTTCAACGATTTAAATTTTGGTAAACCCTCATCAATATTGCCTGTCATTCATTGAGATACTTGGATAGTTGGATGGACTGTGAACTAATCTAGTTTTAGCCGCAGACCTAAGAGTTTTAAAAGTTTTGGAGACTATTCCCAGATGCTATAATACTAGGGCTGGACTGAACCGGGCCTCGGGCCTGGGCCCGGCCGGGCCTCGGTTCAGAATATTGAGGCCCGAGCCCGAACCGGGGGTGGCCGGTTCCAGCCCAGACCGGGCCGGTTCCGGCCCAGACCGGGCCGGTTCCGGGCCGGGCCACCCGCCCTATTTTTTTTTGGCTTCTTTATTTAATCCCCTACCCCTCTTCCTCAACTCCAAACCACCCCAAACCACCTCAAATGGACCAAAATACCTAATCTAACCCAAAACTTAAAAAATTTTCAAAAAAAAAATAAAAAAATTATTTCCGGCCCGGACCGGGCCCGAACCGGCCGGGCCGGTTCACCATATGGAAGGCCCGGGCCCGGAACCGGGAACAACCGGGCCGGTTCGACCCGAACCGCCGGTGGACCGGGCCACCGGGCCGGTTCCGGGTCGGGTCGCCCGGCCCGAGTCCAGGCCTATATAATACTAACCACAACCCTCAAATTAGAAATTGAGGAGTAATAAATAAAATTAGTTAAATGTCTAGTTTACCTTCATAAAAAGCATGACACGAATCTAGTTTACCCTCGTAACAATACTACTTGTGGCAATCTCCATACAATTATACGCAGCCTTCATTCATACTACTGCTCCTAGGAAAGTGATCACTTAAAATCAGCGGTGACATAAACTGATTGCTCATTCTGGTGATTCTAAAAGACAACGTCAAAATAAAATGGTTAGCATCATTCACAAGGTTTTGAAGAGGTCTGGTATTCAGACATCACAGATTGCTTAATGACCACCATTTTTTTGCTAAATTATTTTTACTCCGTATGAAGTTAGTTATTTCAGTGGAAGTAAAAAATAAGTGGCCGCCCACTTCTTCTATGCACTTTTTTCCCTTAAAAGTGACACCTATAGGGGACATACATGAGACAATGAGGAGCAACATTCTTGCTACGCACAGGCACAGCGTGACAACTTTTCATTTATTTGGCAATTTAGGACCAGTCCATGTCCATCTCTTCTCTCGATCACTCTAGAGTCTAGTCTATACTCTACACTCTACAGTGGCAATTTAGCACTCCCCTCCGTTCTGTCTTGCTGTATTTTGGACTGTCGTTTTGCTGTAATTTTAGGGCTTGTTTGCAAACACTTAAATAAAGTGTTTGTGGCTTTTTTTTTTTAAGAAAAAACATTTATTTTACCAAACACTAGCAACTTTTACTTTCTCGGTTTTCGTGTAGAATCTACTTTTTACTTTTTCTATTACACAAAAAACACTTATTTTACCAAACACTACCAACTTTTATTACTAATCATTTTTTTCTCCCAAAAAGTGCTTTTATTTAAACACAAGCACTTGCAAACAAAGCCTTGTAAGTTGTAACAGAAATGGCTAGAATCTAGTTAAACTTATTTTACACTCTAACAGAATTGAAATTTCTATTATTTAGGATAGATTAATTATTTCCCCATGTATTTCCTCACACTCCATTTTTTTTTATTTAAATTTGAAATTACGTGATATAATTTTGAAATTTGATGACTGAACTAATTAAAATAGGAATAAGTTATAACTGAATAACTGATAAACAACAAGAGTGATATGAGTACATTACCCTAATGTGGAGAGTACATCATGATTTGATGATAATAATTCAGGATTACAACACCATGACTTTTGCTTTATATATGTACCTTATTTTGACCATATTTTGTTTACTATAGTAATATATAATAATGACAATAATAAACAAGACATGAACAGATCCAGTAGGCTGAAGATGCCAACCATGAGCCTGCTTCCGATTTATTTCGATTCAGGATTTGAGGATGAGGCGGAGGAACTAGACGAGGAGGAGAGTTCTAAGGAAGATGATGGTTCACCACTTCAGAAGAGGGCTAAGACAGAAGACGAGGAAAGCGGTGACGATGGTTATTGTGGGCGACCCTGACGGAAGATTAAACGTAGTTATTCTTAGCTTACCAGGCTCACGTTTGCATCTATCAAGGTTTTCATGCGGATATGAAATTATGGCCGAAGGGTATTGGTATCATTGACGGGATTCTGCCTATGGACATGGAGAATGATGAAAGTATGCAACCCATAAAGATATTGTTTATGAGGCAGCTCGTCGTGAAATAAAGATGCACAAAGCCGAGAACCCGGAGAGTCCGGAGCTGGAACTGGTACATTACTACGTTTATTTCATAACCATGGTGGTTAAGGACGTGGCTTCGGGAAAAGAGGCAAATTATCAAGCAAACTTCCACTACGCTGTAGCAAAAGACGGAGAGGAGCTTTTCCCATTCTACTTTCTAGTTTCTAAGGCCAGAACCCAAGCACCATAGTAGTAGAGGTTGAGACTGATGAAATGCATACGAAGCGCTTTGAGTATCCCACACACATGTGGTATCCCAGGCAAGTTAATTAATGTGAATGACTGCATTGACTGGATGTTGTTTAATACTCTGAGCTTGAACTTAGGGAGTGTTTTTGTTTGCTTAAAAAAAGTGCTTTGAGCTTTTAGATTAAAAAAAGCAATCTTAAGTGTTTGGTAACCCCAACTTTGGTTTAAAAAAAGTGCTTTAAAGCCAAAATCTAAAAGCTACCCCAGCCCAGCTTTTAATAGCTTATAGGTAAAGTAGTAAATACCCCCAACTTTATGACTAATGATAATGGCAAATAAATCCCCTAACCCCCCAAAATAACCCTCAAATAACTACGATCCCCCAGCCCTGTACACATCTGCTCGTTCCATCCTCTCTCCTATGTCGGTGCCATTTGAACGCAGTGAAGCAGAGGTCTTTAATTTTGTCGTCGCCATCTGTTCGTTCCATCCTCAAAATCAGACCTGTAGAGGAATAGATTATTACCTGATTCGAGAAGGAAGGTCAAAAATGTGGGAACGAAGAACCTTCACTGGGGACCTGGAATTGCGGCCCGCAGAAGCTCGAACGAAAACCAGCGATGGGGTATTTGAGTAGGGGAGGAAGTTCTTTTATTCGTACACCTTGCCCTATGTCCGAAAGTTTAAAGGGTATTTTTGTACTTTTTCAAAAATATTCCATCATAATCACTTTCAGTGTGAATGACTGCATTGACTGGATGCAGTGGTGGACCCGGGACCGGCCCGGGTAGCCACCGGGGCCGGTCCGGGGCCGGGCCGGGCCTTCGGTTTCGTTTTTTTTTTTTGTGCTTTCCTAACCCCCCCCTCACCCCCAAACCCCTCCTAACCATCAAGCCCAACCCGAGTGGAACCCCAAAAAATGGAAAAAGAAAAAATCAATTCGGTCCGGACCCGGGCCCGACCCGGCCGGGTCGGTTCGCCAAATGTAAGACCCGAGCCCGGACCCGCCCCCACCGGGCCTAGGCCCGACCCGGACCCGAGAACTGGGCCGGGTGGCCCGACCCGAATCCAACCCTAACTGGATGTTGTTTAATACTCTGAGCTTGAACGTTAGGTCACTCTACTATTATTATTATGAAAAAAATCATATGAAGCATTATGTAAAACGAATCAGAGTATCGTATATGTTTCTAGATGTAAGTTTTTTAAATATGATTTTTTTTCGAATATTTGTAATACATAATTAGTTATACATTATTGGTCAATGTCAGTTATTGGCAACTATATAATCAAATTGTTAATTCTAAAAAAGAAGAACAAGTTACTATGGAATAGTAGAATAAACTTCCTGCTCCATATTAGTTTTTGGTATCGTCCCTCCCATCAAGAATTCCATAAGACCAGGCTGTTGCCACTTCACTTTCGTGTCAATTTTTTCTGAAATTGAGGAATTTACAGACTCACTTTCGTGTATGAAGATCGTAAAAAAAATAAAATGAAGGGGGAGAAGAAGTTAATGTTGGAAAATGTGTTCATAAATTGCATTAAATGGTCATTTTAGGGCAATTTTTCGAGTGGTGTCCACCTCCGATTTGGGTCAGGTCAAAGTGGTTTCAGATTTTCCTTGCTTAGGCCTACAATTCGATATATGGTACGCTCAAAACGGATAACGAGTGAATGAGAAATTGATTCTCAAAGTTCACTCGTTGAAATGGAGAAAACTAGGAAAAAATGGATTTCTAGTGTGGTTTTTTCTCACACCGGAAAACCCAAGGGACTTTGAACCCTTTATAAAGGGAAACATCTTCTAAGGAGTTAAGATTCCTAAAGGGAAAAGCTCTCTCTCGTGCGCAGGGGGTGCGAATCAAATCCCGAAACCGGAGAACAAAAAACGCGACTTGCGTGTGCGGGCGACCTGCGGACACGAATGCCGTTCGAAAAGCTATCTTCTAAAGATAACATTAACTTTTGTTCTTCCGGTACGTTCCTATTTTATTTTTTGCTCCATGGTGAACTGAAACGTTGCAGCATAAATGCCCAACATTTCTTGGCAATGAATGCAACGTTTTCTAGACAAATCAATGTGCCAACGAGCTGACTATTGAATACCATTAACACACAACAAAATCACCCCTATATAAGGCTGGCAGATGGTTTACAACAATACAACTTGATACACGAACTATACCTTCTCTTTAGCTCAAAAACTCTCCAGCCATTCTGCAAAATTCCTTCTGTATTCTACCTTTGTTCACGTTGTTGGAACTTTAGTTTGAGTGCTAAACTATTGTTCGTAGTCATCGTATCCTGGGAAACGATTGTGGCTACGCTCCTAGCACCCCAGGAGACAACGAATATGTTTTAAGGATATCGTGCGTAGCACGAACTTTGACTTTTTCTGATTCATCTATTTTCTGTTTTCGTTTAGTCATTTTATTTAATTAATTTTTATTAATTATTTTCTTTGTTTTTTGAAACACACCCAACAGTTAAGCGGATAGATGAAATCAATAATCAGTATTTTATTTGTACTATTATTGTCTTAACCAGATTTGCCTTGACTTTACTATGTGGCATGCTTTGTTTTTCTGATACCATTAGTACTTCAATCGAGGTTATACCGTCCATCTGTAGAGAACGATGTATTTACTATGAAAGATTAGAAAATGATTTATTTATTATGCAATTAAAGAATAGAGAACGATGTATTTACTGTTTAGGCATGTAAGAATGGATTCATAATCTCAATTCAATTTTAAAATTGGGAATACTTATTAGTTTTATGTACATCGACTATTTTACTTATTAGGTTTATACTTTTATATAAGTATTTTAATTCATATCAATAAATGCTAAAATCTTTAATAATCAATAATAAAACTATAAATCACACTAAAAACGTTTAAATTTTAGATATACTACCTCCATCTCGTTTTATTTAGCCATCTTTGACTCTTTAGTCAAAGATGGTAAACTTTGATCCATCATTTTAACTCATGTATTAATGTGAAACTTACTAAATTTATACTTTTATGATAAACTTTTTAACAAAGAACATTTCCATTTCATTTACACATTATCAATTTTATTGTATAAATATATAGTCATTCAGAGTTTAACTTCTTTGACTTGAAAAGTCAAATTAGTCTTAATAAAAGTGTGCGGATGTAGTATATAGTTTGTTTCTATAATTTATAAGTTATCAATATGCTCGAGTCCAGATCGAACTGAACATGACTATGCTCGAATTCAGCTTGAATAACTATTCAAACTCAAAAAAATAACGGCCGCTTTTTTTGTAAAAACAAACTATTTAAACTAAAATTTAGCTCGTGTTCGAGATTGAAGCTCGTTAAGATTTGGTCATTAAATTAAATTCGAAATCACGATCGAACTCGAGTAGTTCGAAAAAAAAACTCAGTTCAATAACTATCGGTCCTAAGCTAAACCTTTTTGTATGCAGTAACGAAATTTTTTATTGCTCAGCCCACCCCACCCCTCATTCCTGGATCCGCCCCTGCTTCTAATCACGTATTAAATACGCTTTCCTAAAAGTTTACTATCTACCCTTATCACAATAACCGGGTTACAAGATAGAACTTTTGGAATAAAAAGATGTATGGTGTATTTTAGTTACTGATAAAATAACACCGAACAAGTGATTTGTATATAAAGTTGTCTAAACACTTTATTACTGCAGAGTAATAGAGTAAGGCAATTTGAGAAGAATGACAAAAATCATTTTGCCGTATCATAAAATCAACATGGTCCTCATATTTATAGGTAAAAGAACACTTTCCTAAAAAGGCCATCTCATTATTTCAACCGAATGTCTAATGGCGACAAAACGTTTCAAAAGAAACGGTGCATCCATTTCCAAAAGGATACGAACATGCTTTTAAAAAACTTTTTAAATTAATATTTACAATTTGTCCTTATCCATATATGATGCATGTGTCGCATAAGTGTCTTAAGTGGCATAGCCTTTTAAAACAATACGCACAGTCCGTATACCATGCAACCGGAGCATGGTGAGCACCATGCTCCACACTCCAAAACGACGTAGTTTTGATCAATTTTAAATAATAATAAAAATTCACATGAACAGTACACGCGTGAACAGTACACGCGT